CCAGTTTCTGGTGCCATAGACTTGTGTCCCCCCAAAATTCTTGTTGAAACTTAGTCCCCAATGTGATGGTACTTGAGGTGGGGCATTTGGGAGGTCGTGAGGGTGAAGACCTCATGAATAAAAGTAGTGCCATTATGAAAAAGGCCCTAAGAGAGATCCCTCATCCCCTCTGCCATGTGAGGTTATAGTGGAAAGACTGCCATCTATGAACCAGGAAGATGGTTTTCACCAGATACTGAGTCTGCCCACACCTTGATCTTGGACTTCCCAGCCATCAGAGCTGCAAACAACAGATTTCTGCTGTTTTTAAACCATCCAGTCTATTTGGTTATAGTAGCCCAAACAGACTAAGACATCTAGGTTAGAAATAGTTTCTCTCAAATTTTGAAGGTATTGCTCCATTGGCTCTGTCCTCCTGTGTTACTTATGGAAAATCTGATTTTCTTAATTCCTAATTTTATGTGTGTGACCTATTTCTGTCTGGAAACTTTTAGGATCATCTCCTTATCCTTACTACTTTGCAAATGGTTTGACTTGAATTTGACTGGTAATAGAGAATCTGTCTCCATTTCTTACATTTGACTGCTGATAGTTTTTGATCCCCACGCCTCCTTCGTCTCCTCTTGCCCCACATGTAAGCAAAGCAATAAGCCCAGTGCTTCCTCCTTTGGGAAGCTCAGGTCATGCGAGCCCGCAGCCTGTATGTGAAAACCCTTACCACAGCACTACTCACTAACCACAATTAAAGCCAAAGTCAGTTGCCCCTCCCGACTCTCTCAAGACATATTCTGCCCTGTGTGGGAGCCTGAGGCATGAGAGACCTCATTATATGCATAATAAATCTTTTTTTTTAAAGATTTTATTTATTTTTTTTAACAGAGAGAGACACAGCGAGAGAGGGAACACAAGCAGGGGGAGTGGGAGAGGGAGAAGCAGGCTTCCCACTGAGCAGGGAGCCCGATGCGGTGTTTGATCCCAGGACCCTGGGATCATGACCTGAGCCGAAGGCAGACGCTTAACCATCTGAGCCACCCAGGCGCCCCTATGCATAATAAATCTCTTAATGCCCTCTTGGTACGTGTGTGGTATCATCAGTATTGACATCCAAATCGGTTCCTCATCTGCAGAGGGACCACAGTTCAGCTCCACCACTAACTAGCTGAATGATTTGGATAAATTACATAATCTTTTTTACTTCAGTTTATCTGTTTGTAAAATGGGGATAATAACAGTACTCATGTTTTGAAGATTAAATGGCTTAATCCATGTTGAGAACTTAAAGCAGTTCCCGGCACATAGTAAAAATTTAACAAGTGTTCCTACTGATGTGAACATTTTTAATTTAAAGTTTGGGGCACTTGTTGAGTTCTTTCAATTAAAGGACTCAGGTTAATTCAGTTATGACAGATATTTTTGGCATCATTTAATTCATATCCTTGCCTCTATTCTCTACTTCTGGAAACTTTCTCACACTTTGGCTCCTATTTTCTATCAAATTTGCTTTTTGTTTTGCTTTATGGGACATTTCCTCAAGTTTATCATACAGCTTTATTTTCTGTGGCCTTTATATCCATTCTCCCTTTAAAAAAAAAAAGATTTGTTTTTTTTTTTTTTAAGATTTTATTTATTTATTTGACAGAGAGAGATACAGCGAGAGAGGGAACACAAGCAGGGAGAGTGGGAGAGGGAGAAGCAGGCTTCCCGCAGAGCAGGGAGCCCAATGTGGGGCTCGATCCCAGGACCCTGAGATCATGACCTGAGCCGAAGGCAGACGCTTAATGACTGAGCCACCCAGGAGCCCCTAAAAAAAAGATTTTATGTTTAAGTCATCTCTACACCCAACATGGGGCTCAAACTTACAACCCCAAGATCAAGGGTCGCATGTTCTACTGACTGAGCCAGCCAGATGCCCCTCCGTTCTACTCTTTTTAATTAATAGTAGATCCCTGGTTTTTAACTAGCCACTTGGTCATCCAGACCTGGCACAATGAGAAATACTTTCTGAGCATCAAATGACACTATCAACAGAGAAAAAAATGTAACCTGCAGGATGGAAGAAAATGTTTACAAACCGTATATCTAATAAGGGATTAATATCCAGAATATGTACAGAACTTCTAAAACTCAAAAACAATAAAACAACTCCATTAAAAAATGTGCAAAGGACTTGTATAGATATTTCTCCAATGAGTCTGAAAAGCATATGAAAATATGTTCAACATCACCAATAATTGGGACAGTGCAAACCAAAAATACAAGATACCACTTCACACTCATTAGAATAGGTCTTACCAAAAAAAAAAAAAAAAAAGCAGAAAATAACAAGTGTTGGATGTGGAGAAATTGGAACCTTTTTGTACTGTTGATGGGAATATAAAATAATACAGCTGCTGTGGAAAATAGTATGGAAGTTCCTCAAAAAATTAAACCTAGAATTACCATATGATCCAGCAATTCTGCTTCTGAGTATATACCCCAAAGAATTAAAAGCAGGGACTTGAATAGATACTTGTACACCAATGTTCATAGCAGCATTAGTCACAAAAGTCAAATTTCATTGATGGATGAATGGACAAACAAAAGATGTTATGTATATACAGTGGAATACTATTCAGCTTTAAAAGAGAATGAAATTCTGTTATATGCTACAACATGGATGAACCTTAAAGACATTATGCCTAATGAAATAAGCCATACACAAAAGCACAAATATTATATGATTCTGCTTATATGAGGTACTTATAATCATCAAATTCATAGAGACACAAAGTAGAATGGTGATTTCCAGAGGATAGGGGAAGGGAGGATAGGAAGTTATTGTTTACTGGGTATAGAATTTCAGTTTGGGATGATAAAAACATTCTGGAGATGGATAGTGGTGATAGTTGCACAACAACGAATGTACTTCTAAACTGTAATTAACTGTATACTTAAAAAGGGTAAAAATAATAAAATTTATGTTATGTGTATTTTACCACAATAAAAGTAAAAGAGATATTCTTTGAGGCTGAAGATTTATCACCATGACAGAAATGGGATGTGCGGGAAGGATTGGTGGACTCCTCTTGTTTTCCTCTCTCCAACTGACACCATCCCCTATAACTTTGTGACTGGTTATTGTCTACTGTCTCCCATTTTGGACGCCTATTTATTCTGCATACCATTATCAGATATCCACCTGGCTACCTCCCTCCTTCATTGTCTTTTGGCTTCCATAGTTTCCAATAGGAAGTCTGCTGTAATTCTTATCTTCCTACCTCCCACCTCTGAATGTAATGTACGTTTTTTCTCTACTTTTAAGGTTTTCTCTTTGTTATTGGTGATATCCAGTCATGAAGTTGTGAGACAGTGTCCATGGTAGGGAGAGAAACAGCTGGAGCCCCCCAACACCTCCCCACATCCCATTGCTATCCTGTAGTATATCTTCATCCTTGAAGAGTATTTCTGATTGGGCAAGAGCACGATATGGACCTGAGGACCCTGTTTTTCAAAGCTTTGAGATTATATAAGCACCTCTCTCACCAAATAGCTGAAGGTCACCTTAGGAAAAGAAGCAATGGAGGGTGGGGAAGTTATTTTGTAGTCAGATTTTTTCCCTAAAGAAGGTATTTCTTGTAGGATCCACTTACATTATTTAACCAGATCAAATTAAAACCAGAGCAGGTGATCCTAAAATTATAACCTAATAATACAAATGGGAAGTACATGAAGCAGTGTGACTAGTGATCCTGGTGCTGTGGAATGTAGTGGCCCTGCTTACAAGCCTCCTTCCTGCTCTTCACATTATTCATATCTCTTTGCAATGCTGTTCCCTCAAACAGATCTTAAACTGACATTCTACCTAAAATAGCCATTCCTTCAACCATTCTTTAACCCTTGCTTTATTTTTCTTTGTAGTACTCAATCACAACATGACATTTTATTATTTATCTGTTACTTGTTTATTGTCACTCTCCTCCACTAGAGAAAAAACACCATGGTTGCATTTTCATTGTCTTATTCCTATCATATACCCACAGCCTAGATGAGAGCTTGGAATGTCATATCATATGCTCAATAAAATTTGTTGAATGAATGACTTTATTTATGTATTAACTTTATTATATTATTTATATTAAATATATATTTAACATTTATTGTTATTTAATCTGACTTTATTTCACTGTCCTTTTCATTTTTATCATTTATCCACTCATTGTGTAATCACGTACTAAGCCTCTACTTTGTGTTACATGTACAGTTAGCATGAGAGGTGGGGAGAGACAAAGATGTATAAAGACTTCCAAAAGGAAATCCCCACTTCCTGAGGGATACAATTCAAAGTCCTTAGCAAACAAAAATGGGACACCCTAAATTTAAGGGGGAAATTTAAAAACCCTCGAGAAGTTAGGTTTGTTTCGAGAAGTGTGAGAGAGTCCCTCTGCTTCTTTCCAGCCCCTTGCAGGAGCCCAACTCCCCAACTTCCCGATTGTGAAGCACAGCGCCAGCTCCTATCCAGCCTAGCTCAAAGCTCCTCCCTTGGTAATGGACAGTTAGGGAAATCCCACTGAGGCCCGCCCCCATGCCCCTCCTTGCTAGATTGAATGGCGCAATCCGGTGGGAGGAGCCGCCGGCTCAGCCAATAGAAGGAAGCGCTAGCAAGAGCCTGTGTAAACAAACCCAGAGATGCGGCGCCTTGGGCTCCTCCCCCACGTAGGGGCTGGACGCATCCTTGGCTCAACGCCTATCCAGGACTAGCGTAATATCCTTTCAGCCAATCAGAGCCGGTGTCTCCCGAAAGGAGGTGCTCCACCCTGAGAGAAAGAACGAAGGGAGCGAAAAGACAGATGTTAATGCCAATCGGAAGCTAGAACTTCTGAGGGAGTGGGTGGGAACTGCTTCACATTTAGACCAATAAGCAACAAACATGCCCTTCTAGGTGACTGAGAGGCATCATCTTCGGTCCAATAGGCGAATGGGGCGGTGCCCAGCAACCAATGGCTTGGGTTCGGGGGCGGAGTAAGGAGCCAGTGTGCTGTAAGAGGTAACCTGGCGAGTGGCCCCGACGCTTCTCCCTTGCTGTGGCTCACGCTTTGGTACTGGAGGCCGAGACTGTTCTGGCGACGGCGACCTCTGCGGCGACGGCTGAGGCTCTCGGAGAAGTGGCGGAGTACGAGCTGGAGGAAGGGCTTCTGGTCAGCCCAGGTGGGCTCGGGCACCCGGGCTGCCGGGGAGGGGACCCACGGGAAGCGCCGCTCTCCTGGCTCTGGGGGCGCCCTGCGCCTCCCTTTCCGCAGCCGTCGGGGCTGTGAGGGGCGACGCGCGCCTGTCCGAGCTCCTGCGGTGAGGGTAAGCCGGCGGGTCCCACGTCGTGGCCGTCGGCGAGCAGGGGCATCCGCCGGGGTTACCCTCTGCCTCTCGCGGGCTTTAGGGGGTCTTAGTCCTTTTCTCCCGGCACAGGCGCGCTATTCCTCCCCCGCCCCTCAACTTCCCTGAGCCCCCTCAGGCTCCTTCGGACTGAAACCTTGGCTTGATACTACCCGGGCGCAACCCCGCGAGGGAAATTGACGGGTGTTGCATCCCCCGGTCCCCTCCCCAGGCGGGTAGGCGGAGGAGTTGCGCGTTTTCACCCCTCCCCCATTCGCGGGCCCGGGTGCGTTATCTGCGTTTCTTCTACTCCCTCCACCTCCCACTTTGCTCCAGCTTTCGTTCTTGATACCTAATTTGAGTTAGGAGCCCCGGCCACTTCTCTGCTGCCTTCCGTTCTGCTCGTGAGTCCCTTAGCCTTCCCACCCCCTAAATTTCATCCACATCTCTCATGGAAACTAACATTTTCCACTTGCTCCTTCCAAGCAGCTGGAAGGTGAATGCAAGAGACGCAGAATACACAGTACAGGGAGCTTTGCAAGATTGGGAACTTTAATCGGTTTTGTTAATGGTAAACTATTCTTGCCTTCCTTAAAATGGCATTTGATCATAATATCCTCTCTGAAATCTTTTTCCCAGTACAGTTGTTTTGGTGATAGTTTCTGAAAATGCAGGTGAGAAGGCTTTACTGGCCACAAGAAATTTAAAATGTATTTTTATTTTAAGTAGGCAGTTTTCATTATACTTTTTTTTTCTTTTTTTCTTCATTATACTTTAAATAGCTTAACTGGAGTGGCACAGAGTTTGTAGTGTAAGGGCCTGTCCACCCTAGTTTATCATAAAATATACGACATACTTTAGCTGTGTAGCACAGTGCGATTTGATCATACCAAGACTATGGATAATATGGCATTGAATCTGTTTAAAAACAATATTCTCTTTTCCCCATTCACAGAGGATTTGTACTCACATTTATAGTATGTCAGTTTGTGTTTTAATGATGTTGGTTCTAGATAATAGTGCAGACTATGTTGTGCCTAAATAAAATTATGCCAAGAAATTTATGGGGAAAAGTCACTTTGGGGTTTTGAAAATATTAATTTAGATATTGGACTGTAAGAGTTTTGTTTTGAGGAAATAGAAGTATTGGATTAAGTGTGATGGGCCCCTTAGGCTATGTGTGTATGAGAAAGAGTGTGCAAGAGAAAATACACGTGTACAAAACCTTGTAGGTTCTAAAAGTACTTAGTTTTGTGACTTCATATAAATTGGAATTGTTTTTCTTAGTTCACAGAGTTGAAATGTAAGCGGTGAGTTTAATATGTACACTTTATTTTGGCCAGAATTTTGCAAGTTTTTGTGAAAAATGTTCATTGTTTTCTTTATTTTACTTGTAATATATATATACATATATATTTCCTTGTATTTTACTATGGTAAGACTGTACCTTTAAGACTGTACCTTGTATATAGAGAAATAAATCTAGTGGAGTGAATTAAGAGGAATCTTTACTCTGAAGAGGCAGCATTGCATTGTCTAGTAGACCATATGTTTGAACCCTGTTAATAAATCACACGAAAAAGAGGAAGATCTTTTTTTTTTTAAGATTTTTATTTATTTATTGAGAGAGAGAATGATAGAGAGAGAGCATGAGAGGGTGGAGGGTCAGAGGGAGAAGCAGACTCCCTGCTGAGCAGGGAGCCCGATGCGGGACTCCATGCGGGACTCGATGCGGGACTGGATCCCGGGACTCCATGCGGGACTGGATCCCGGGACTCCAGGATCATGACCTGAGCCAAAGGCAGTTGCTTAACCAACTGAGCCACCCAGGCGCCCGAAAAAGAGGAAGATCTTAAAGCTATTCTAACAAATGCCCAGGTATTGAGAACAATAAAATATTAATTACAGAGTTATTAACAGTCATCAAAGTCCTGGAAAAACTATAAATCTATGAGTTGGTATAGGCTGTGGTTGAAAACCAGAGTTGTTTTTTTTTTTTTTTAACAGTCTTTTCAGGTGTATTTGTGCTTAGTAATTACTCATTTGCAGATTTAAAAGATTATAACTATGATTTCTTCCTAGAGATCTTGTCTTTAAGGAGTCCACAGTTTAATGGGAGAAAAACCTGTAAACCAAGAATTAAATGCAGAGGGAGAGGTTCTGCAGTACAGGATAGTATGCAGGGCACAGAGAAGCACTGTGACTCCATGTTCTGGCCTCATCTCCTGCTCTAGACTTTCTGAAGTGCCATTTCCTAAACCTACCTGTTCATTTACACACTTGGGTCTCTCTCTGTAGGTGCTGTTCTCTCTCCTTGAAAGCCTTTTCCACACCTTATATGCCTAGTGAGGTTCTATTTCAAAATCTCTTGAAGCCTGACACTGGCCTGCACTCCATCCAAATAATTGTTTTCTATATCTTTCTGTTATTTCATTATAAATAATTACTTTGATTCTCATTATTTACAGTAATTTTGGTCGATAAAGTCACCTAGGGCACTATATTAGCAAATACTGAATCACTGCTCCTAGGGAAAATACGTCCATATAAACATCTTATATAGATTATAATCTTATGTAAATACAGTTTATCCTGGTAAATTCTATTTTCTTTATTTTACAAAAGAGAAAATGAGGTTCAGAAGTGTTAAGTGACTTCCCTGAGGCCACCTTCTAACAAGTGCCAGAGTTAGGCTTCAAACGCTGTCTGATTGGCCTCTGAGCCGGAGCTTCTTGCTCTACATTGCACTGCCCCCTACAATCTGTGTCCCCTAGTCATCCCTGTATGAGACTGGAAACACAAATGCAGAGCACTGCCTTATTCTACCTTAGCTGGGAATGTTTTGGAGGGGTGACTCAGTTTTCGCACTTTGTGCATGTCTGTGGATGGCTGAAAAAGCACGGTGAGTGTTGGTTTTGTGGTTACAAAGACATTTTAGCAAGTAGGAGAACTCAGAAATACAGGATCCATGAAAATGTAAGTGACCTCTGGAGTCTATTTTGTGATAACCCTTCTTGGAGTCCACTGTAGAATGTTCCTTTAGCTTCTTTGAGAATTTGTTCACTTATTCAACAAATACTTATTAAGCACTTACTGTAAGCTAGGCTTTGTTTTAGACTCTGGTGAACAAACAGATTAAGATCTTGCCCTTACTGATACTATATTTGAGTAAGAGAAACAGGCAGCTAACAGCTCAGGGGAGAGGTCCAGGTTGGAAAGAAATTAACTTGACCAAAGTAACACCTGGTATGGCCCCTCCCACTTCACATCTCCTAGCATATTGACTTCCAGAACATTTCTATTTTATTCTGTGCATAAACTCTTACTTCTAAGCCTCGCTCCATTAACCTGTGTAAACTTGTGTCATCAATTGATTTTGAGGCCATTTACCTAGCAGGATTTTCTAGAAGAATCAGGCTGATTTGTTCTTTGATTTCTGGCTTTGCCACTTACCAACTGAGGGATTTTGGTCAAGTTGTAGAACTCTTAAGCCTGTTCTCTAATTTCAAAAGTGGTGATATGATGTGTTAGGCCCTTGTCAATTGAAAGGAAGAGGCACACACATTATCTTTGCTGATGAGGGTTTAATGTAAATTTAAATAGGAAATCATCTCAGCAGCCATATTGTCCCTTGGCTCTACTGCTTTCAAAACCTTAAAAAACAATAACTGAGCAGTATTTAGAATAGGATTTGGGCTCTGGAAACCTGCCTTCTTTTACTTTGCTCACTCAACATTTGTATTTCCCAAGAGAGAACCTGATTGGATTGGTTTGTCACCTAAAATAGAGGACCCCTATTGGGCAGAATTTTGAGCCAAGATATGTCCTAGGTGATCACTCTCAAGTTCAGCTTGTAGATTGTCTTTACTTAGGGCTCTGAGTGCTAGTCCAGTTACTTGTGTCCCAAGAAGTAGGGTTGGTTTCATGCATTATCTGTTGTACAGATCTTAGCATAAAATAAAAGAACCACTTGGAGACAGTTTCTTCAGAAGACAATTGAGGGTAGAGCTTTAGTGTCTAATAAAGAGTGTAACAAAGTAAACATATGTCAAATATTCCATAAGTCTTCCTTTTGGTATTACATTTAATATTATTATAAGGGCACCTGGGTGGCTCAGTCGTTAAGCGTCTGCCTTCGGCTCAGGTCATGATCCCAGGGTCCTGGGATCGAGCCCCACATCAGGCTCTCTACTCTGCGGGAAAGCCTGTTTCTCCCTCCCCCCGCCCCCTGCTTGTGTTCCCTCTCTCACTGTGTCTCTCTCTGTCAAATAAATAAATAAAATCTTTAAAAATATATTATTATAGTGTGGTTATTTATTTATATGGCTGTCTTCCTTACTAGACTGTGAGCTCATGAATGTGGGGTCCACATCTTCATTTTTCTTTGTTTTTTTTTTTTTAAGATTCTATTTATTTGTTTATTTGAGAAAGAGAGAGAGCAAGGGCACAAACAAGGAGAGGAGCAGAGGGAGAGGGATAAGCAGACTCCATGCTGAGGGCAGAGCTCAACATGGGGCTCGATCCCAGAACCCTGAGATTATGAGCTGAAATCAAGAGTTGGACGCTTAGCTGACTGAGCCATCTAGGTGCCCCTCCACATCTTCATCTTTCTGTCCTTGGTGCTTATGTAGTAATTTGCATAAATGTCTGACTTGAGAAATTCCTAACTCTTTCTGAAAGGATGGGAAGATATGAAGGCTTCCCAAAGAAGGTATTGTTTAACCTGATTCTTAAAGGATGAGTAAGAATGTTTTCCAGGTGCATAAAACTTTGAGACAGCATTCCAAGCAGGGACCAGCAGGTGCAAATGCACAGAGATATAAACAAACAAAAATCAC